GGCAGGAAAATGAGGGGGGGGGAGCGTGGCTGTTTGCCCCGGAGCAAAATAACGCGCGACTGTGCAATCAGGAGTCTGGTTAAGGTCCCGTCGAGGTCCCGTGGTTAGGGGGGAGGTGCTGATCACACGACATGGCAAAGAAGCGTGGCAAACAGGGTTGTGTTTGTTTTTTAAAAATAAAATGTGTGCATGCTCCGTTGGGTGCTTGTGTGCATCCCATGGAGACTTGGGGAAAAAAAAACCTTTTTGCGAGGGGACATGGGCAGGCGCCGGATGCCACCGGAAATGCGATCAGACGCTCACCCTTGCCCCGCGGTTTCCGGAAACTAGTACCTCAGAGGTACTAGTTTTTTACTCCGCATCTTCAGCGGGAAGCCTCGGGTGAGCCACGGGAGCTCTACGCTTCCCAGATGTGGCGCTGTGATCGCGCCCGGAAAATCCACCTATCTTCCGTCTTTCTAGCGTGGCTAATGCTCCATGTCACGGCAGGGCCAGGGAGCGTGGGTTAAGCAAGTCAAGTCCAAAGCCAGTCCAGGTTCAGCCAATAATTCAAACATCACAGAGAGTTAAACATGTCCAAAACAGTTCACAAAGCCAGCGTCAGAAGTCGTGGTCAAACAATGCCGGGAGTCAGGGAGCCGGAGTGTCAGAAGCAGAGTAACGAACGGTCAAGGTTTCAAAGAGTCCGGAGCAAGGTTGCACAGAGCGACTGGTCCTGTCAACTGAAGTTGCCAGCACAAATCACTTCCAGCAGCAGGTTTGTTGATATAGTGTGCTGGCTCATTAACTTGTTATCTTTCTTGGAGCAAGGTCAGGCCTCTGTTAAAACTCAGGGCTGAACGAGCGTCTTCCACACATGCATGCAGCCTTGCGTCTCTCGTTCAGCTCCTGTCTTCTTTGACTCCTGAGCCGGTTCACAGGTGGCGGGGAGTCAGTGTTAAGCAGAGCCTGATCCGGCGCAGGTGTCTCTTGGGAGGTTCTATCCTCCTCGAGACTTAGAGTGTCTTCTGTTAAAGGAGCCAGTTCTTGGCTGGCAGGCTCTGCTTCTGTGAGTATATCAGGGGCTTGTGGTGCCAAGTCCCCTTGTTCCTGGCTGTCAGCTGACACATCAGGGGCAGGCATGACACTCCATGTGACCGAGGCCACAGTCACATTTGGAAGCTGTTTCCCAGTGATACTCACACCATCTTACGATCAGTTGGAGATGGATCAAATAGACAGCAGATGAAGTCCGGTGCTGACGGATACCTGTGTATTCATCCTGCATTGCTGGATGTCTGAATTCCCCCAGTTTGAAAGTGTGAACCTGTAGTTCCAGGTTCACCATTCTTTAAAATAGTAGAGCATATGTGCACCTGAGAAATGTTCTAAAAAATGTCAAATCTTCATTTTTAAAAACAGACCAGACTGTATACTCAGTGGTTGATGTGCAGCAGTGATCTGAATGGTCCTTGTGTAGGGGCCATGCTAATCTTCTCTGTATCGTACCAATTTTAGTATACATGCAGCCAAATAGAATTCGTATCCTGTCCATTTTTAAATGGGTAACTGGAAGCATAAACCCCAAGGGTCTGTTCCTTCAGGACCAATGCCGGTCCAATTGGCATAGAGTGGACTTGAATTCCATCCAGAAAGTAGGCTTCTCTCCCCAAGCCCTTCAGGATCTCAGTACAGACTGGGCAAAATTACTCATTAAGCATGGAGTGACTGACATTGAAAGTCAAATAGATATTCTCAGTTCTCCTGGTTATTTCTCTCCAGCAAATACCAAAAATATAGTCTCTCCTGCAGCCTATTTACATTTTCTCAAATCCAATAACTCTAGGCTGCGGTCACATGGAACAGAAGCCACACAAGTGAGATGGAAAACAGGCGGAGTTTCCAGGCGCAATCTCACCAGCACATCTGGGAAGTGTAGCTCTCCCGTGGCTCAACCGAGGCTTCCAGCCGAAACTGCGTGGCAAAAAACTAGTACCTCGGAGGTACTAGTTTCCGGAAACTGCGGGGCAAGGGCGGGCGTCTGATCGCGTTTCCGGTGGCATCCGGCACCCGCCCATGTCCCCTTGCAAATAAGGTGGGTTTTTTTGTCCAAGTCTCTGTGGATGCGCACGCGCACCCAACGGAAAATGCGCATTTGTCATGTACACACAAAAACAAAACAGTTTGCCGCAGTGCGCACTTCTTCGTTGCACGCCGGCTTGTCCTGTGATCGGCACCTCTCCCTTGCCATGGAACCTCCACGGTACCTCCACAGGATCTCCACAGGAGGTCTGATCGCGTAACTGCGCAGTAGTTTGCCCCAGGGCAAACAGCCACGCTTCTCCCCTGCAGTTTCCTGCCCGTGTGACCGGGGCCATGGAAGAGCATTCATTTTAGCCAGAAGTAGGTCCTTGCCATCTGCAGTATTGGAAGGAAGGTTTAAAGGGGCCCCTTACTCACTGAGGTTCTTTTCCTGCCCCCTCCATGAAACAGACTCTCTGGAACATATATTCTTTAACTGTGTATACCGTAGGGTGATTTGCATGGAGACTATTGGTCCATTGTTGGAAAGGTTTCCTGGCAGATCAAATAAAGTTAAGCTCAACTACCTCCTCTCTGACAGGAACCAACAGACAACTAGACAGGTGATGAGATATTGTGCCCAAGTTTACAGGGAATGTAAAGTGTATGGCAATTAGATTAAGTTCTATTTTTTAATCTAAATTATATAGAGTTTTATGGCTCTTTTATTCTATTTCGATGTTATAGACACAAGAATGCCACCATTGGTTTTATCCCATATTTCTTATTAAAATATTTTTATGTCAAATGAATGACTGTGCTGGTCATTGACTCTAACAATAAATTTGATTGATTGATTGATCTGAATGGTCAACCATGGAAGAAGCATGTGGTGAGGGCAGAGCAGGAGGAGTCTGAGCAAAAATCTCCGTCAAAAAAACGTGATGAAGTAAATAGCAGTGCACCCCAACCGCACCAACCTGCCAGTCTGACCACAGCCCTACTCTAGCCTAGCCAAACTAGTGAATAGTGTTGGTTTCTTTCTTCACTAAGGCTTCAATTTGACAACTTTTTGTAGGGGGTGGAACCCTGAAGTTCAAGAAAGTGAGAGAGAACATCCTCTCCCTGTCCTCAGTCAGAGCAGACCCAGCCGAGACCAAGTCAGAATCACTAACCAGAAGTGCAAAGCTGAGAGTTCAGTCCAAGAGTCATACATGAGGAAAGCCAGCCGAGGGTCCAAGAAAGAGAGTCTGAGCAGGTCCAAGAGGTGTGGTCAAGCAGGTCTGGGGTTGAAGCCAAAGGTTCGGGAGTTGCAGACAGGAACAGGTCCGGTTGGTATGGTCATGTGTATCCAGAAAGGTGATGAGTTGCTCCCATGCCTTCCCCCTCTGAAGCCCTGTCCTTTATCAGCAGCTAACAGCTGGGTCTCATTGCTTGCAAAAGAGCTATCCAGGTGTTCCTCTCGATCTGGCAGTCACTGGGTAGCAACACGTGCACTACGCCTCTTCTTAAGGAGCAGCAAGCATGCCCACCTCCTCCTGTGTTCCCCTGGCTCTGGGGAAAGGGGAGGTGAGGCAACCTGTGAAGTTTCCCTGAGATCTTGGGTTGTTGAGGTGCTGCCTCTCTGGGTTGCCTCTTCTGTGTTCCCAGTCCTCATGAGGCTGGAGTTCATGCTGTCCTCAGCAACTGGGGCATTGGACCTGCCTCCACCATCTCAGGGTCATTGACAGCATCAGCTGGTTGAGTTTCATAGGTGTTGACGGGGATGTTATCAGTATTAGCTGAGTGTTCTTTGTCTAAAGCAGGCTGGGCCATGACACTTAATGTGCAGGTACCTTCAGTCATTGTTGAAGACCCTGCTTGAATTATGCCCACCGTCTTAATCTAAGTGAGAGGCAACCAGGGTAAGGGCCCTCTAAGTCCTCGCAACAAAACTTTGGAAACCCCTTCCCATGGATATTCGTCTGTCTCATCTTCTGGCATATCCCCCATAACGGTTACTAGACCTCTTTCTGCATTTGTGAGTTTACGTGTTTTTAGTTGAATTCTTGTATCATTTTAGATGTATCTTTAATTGCTCAAACATTCTAAATGTTGTTATGTGCTCTGCGTTGTTCTTGAAAAGAGCCATTTCTGTCAGGGCTCTCTCAGTCCCACCTACCTCACAGGCAGTGTTCCCTCTAAGCTGACAGATTTTTTAGCTTCCAGCTCACATATTTTTGTCTTAGCTCAGGAAGGGATGGCTCCAGAGCCAAATTGCTCACTCAAAACTTTAATGCCAGTAGCTCACAAACAATACTCCCTCTAAGCCGTGGGGTCCTGTGAGCAAAACTTCTACTTTGAGAGCTACTGGCATTAAAGTTGTGAGTGAGTGATTTGGCTACTGCATAAGTTAGTTTGCTCTGGAGCCATCCTTCCTGAGTGAACACAAAAAAAATGTGTGAGCTGGAGGCTAAAAAAACTGTGAACTAGCTCACACTAACTCAGCTTTGCGGGAACAGTGCTCACAAAGTAGAAGTTTTGCTCACAAAACTCCATGGCTTAGAGGGAGCATTGCCCACAGAGGGAAAGGAGTTTGTAAGCTGCTCTGAGACTCTGAGTGAAGGGCGGGGTATAAATCCAATCTCTTCTCTTCTTCTTTTTCTTCTTCTTCTTGGGGACCCAGATCGGGTGGAAAGGCAGCATAAAAATGCTTTAAATTAATAAAAATAACAAAACAGAGCAAAAGCAGTTAAGGAGTTTGTCAGTCTCCAAGTCTAAGGAGTGTCGCTGGCATTTGTTTCCTTCAAAGCAGACAACATTTGGCTGTATGACAGTTCAAGAACGAGTCATAAGCATATCAAAACTCAACACCAGTATTGTGGTTCTGAAGTTTATTAGAGCCACCATTCAATAATTCCCTATTTAAAACAAAAACAAAAAAACCCTCCAACACTTCACATTGAATGAAGTAAATCAGAACTGAACTAGTCCCATATTGTAATGAAATGTCTCGGGAAATGGTCCAACTCTCCTCTAAAAGAACTTTAAAATCTATTTACAGCAAAATCCCGAAGTTCTACCAGCATGCGCTTGCCCTGGCATTCGCCGTAAAGGAGGTCAATGAGAACCCCCACCTCTTGCCCAATGAGACTCTTGGGTTCCACATCTGTGATAACTACAACATTGATGAGATTACCTATTACAGCACTCTGGAACTGCTGTTCAAATCACACAGTTTTGTCCCAAACTACAAATGTGGCACCCAGAAAAACCTTATAGCTGTCATTGGGGCTCTTGACTCTGAGAGCTCCTTCCATATGGCAAACCTCTTGGATCCCTTCAAGATTCCACAGGTAGGATGCATGCACAGGGGAATTTTTTATTTTTTAAAAAGGTCACACATGTCATTCTTCTATTGTTATTCTGGGGGAGATTTTGTGCTACATGAACAGGGAGAGGTGAGTTTTGAAAAAACTAAAGCCACCTCTGATTGTAAAAGACCAAAGACAACATAAGAAGATCTCTGCTGGATCAGATCAATGGTCCATCTAGTCCAGCATCTAGTCCTAGTCTCACATGGTGGCCAACCAAAGAGAGATAAGTCACAAAGGTGAACGAGAACAGGCAGCGGGCCCATAGCCAGGATTTTGTCGCTTGTGAGAAAAAAATTCTGCTGGGGCTGCCATTTTTGCCATTATTTTTCTGCCTGTACACAACTGTACAGAACAATCTCTGTCTCTAGAACATATGTGCCTCTTTGTCTCACCCTGATCTTGCAGTAGATTCTCCAAAATGCAAAAACCATTTGGCAGATACTTTTTTGGGGAGGGGGGATGAGGCAAGAAAGGCCGCAGGGCTCTTTTTGTAGCAAGAACTCCTTTGCATGTTAGGCGACACACCCCTAATGTAGCCAATTCTCCAAGAGCTTACAGTAGCCCCTGTAAGAAGAGCTCTGTAAGGTCTTGGAGGATTGGCTACATTAGGGGTGTGTCACCTAATATGGAAAGGAGTTCCTGATACAAAAAGAGCCCTGATTAAGGGAATGTAGTATTGATAGCCCCCCCTCCAATTTCTTCCCTCCTTGCTCTCCCTGGCTAATTCCCCAGAAAAATCTGTGATCCTTTCATATCTATTGTGTAAAGCCTCAGTGTATTTAGTCAGTTTGGTGTAGTGGTTAAGTGCATGGACTCTAATCTGGGAGAACCGGGTTTGATTCCCCACTCCTCCACTTGCACCTGGCTGGATGACCTTGGGCAAGCCGTAGTTCTAATAAGAGCTGTCCTTGAAAAAGAGCCGTTTCTGTCAAGAGCTCTCTCAGCCCCACCTACCACCCAGGGTGTCTGTTGTGGGGAGGGGAAAGGAAAGGAGTTTGTAAGCCGCTCTGAGACACCTTTGGGTAGTGAAGGGCAGGGTAGAAATCCAATCTCTTCTTCTTCTTCTTCTCTTCTCTTAACTCCTCCCCAATCTACACAACAGCTGAATGTTTGTCTTCCAAGCATAGGTCGATTCAGGGGGGATCGCGGGGGATCACAGTTCCCCCGGGTGAGGTGCGGGGGCGGAGCACACGAAGAAGCCCCACCCCCTGCTTCCGGCTGCCCTGCTTCCGGCCCTCATTCAGCCAGGAGGAGGCAGGAGAAGAGGGAGGGTAAGTTGCTTCCTCCCCGCCTCTCCCCACCCCTGCCTGCCTGGGGTCAGGGAGGGCCTTGGCGGGGCTTCCTCGCACTCCTGCCGGCCTTGCAGGTTCACCACCGGGCCCCTGATGTCAGGAGGTGTGGCATATGCTAATGAGTTATGCTAATGAGTTCCCCTAACTCTTTTTCTATGAAACGACCCCTGCTTCCAAGACTGAAATGATTTACTTCCATGATCTGGCTGAAAGGCTTTTCTCTACACTGAGGACTTATACAAAAGAAATGAAAGGATCCCAGATTGTTCTAGGGAAGGGTCCTTATGAAAGGGGGCAGAGCCCCAAATAGCCCCATCATGGCAGTGGGCCAAACATGCAAACATTCCATTGTTGAGAGGTTTAAAAGTTTCACCTAGAGAGGAGGAAAGGTCAACCTTTAAAGATCAAGGGATACACAAAGGATGTTTAGTATGCATGTTAAATGTGTATTTTCTTCCTCTCCTTTGAGTCTACTAAGGGATGGAGCTGGAGGAAAGGTCTCAACTCTTCTTCCACCCCCACCCCAGGCACTGCACTGCTGCCTGCCAGTCCAGGGGTACAGACAAAGGTTTGTCCCAGGTCCTCTTTTACAGTTAGAGAACGTGGAGGTGGGAAGGTGGGAAGTGCCATCAAGTCATAGATGACTTGCTGTGACCCCGTACAGTTTTCTAGGGAAGAGACATTCAGAGGTGGTTTGCCACTGCCTGCCTCTGTGCAGCAACACTGGACTTTCTCGGTGGTCTCCCGTCCAAGTACTAACCAGGGCTGACCCTGCTTAGCCTCCAGGATCTGATGAGATCAAGCTAGCCCGGGCCATCCAGGTCAGGGCTATCTGTTGCTGTTGAGGAACGTCTGTGAAATGAAATGCCATCCAAGATGGTTCTTTGCCATGGAAACATAGCAAAGTGTTCCGTTTGGATGGCATCCCTATCTGGCACACATGGGGGGAGGCACTCTCTTGCATCTCTCCCCCACACATTGCCCAAACTGGCTCTAAATGTAGTTCATGTTCCTCTTTTGCCTTCAGGACCACCTCCTTCAGTATGTCCCCAAAGAAATGCTGAGATTGGCTAGTAACAACTTGTTGATCATTCCCAGTTCTAAGGAGGCTTCGCTGTCATCGACTAGGGCCAGGGCCTTCTTGGTCCTGGCCCCTATCTGGTGGAATTCTGCGGAATAACATCAGGGCCCTGAGCAGTGTTCCCTCTAAGCTGAGTTAGTGTAAGCTGGCTCAAAGTTTTTAGCCTCCAACTCATACATATATTTTTTTAGCTCGGGAAGGATAGCTCCAGAGCAAACTAATTTATGCAGTAGTCAAATCACTCGCTCACAACTTTAATGCCAGTATTTCACAAAGAATCATTTTTCCTCACAAGACTCCACAGCTTAGAGGGAGCATTGGGCTTGAGCAGGGGTCATTTCGTAGAAAATGAGGTGCATGAGCTCATTAGCATAACTCATTAACTTATTCGCATATGCCACACCCCCTGACATCACCGGAAGTGTATCAGAAGGCAACACCCACCACTCAGGCTCCACTGGACTGTTTTGGATTGCTAGCTATTGGAGGGAATGTGCAGATCTGTCCTCGCAGAGAAGGGAGAGCTTGTACCTGAATAAAACTTGGTCTTAAAGGTGCCACTGGACTGTTTTGGACCGGGGGGGGGGCTCTGTAATTTATCTGGCTGCTTCTTACTCTGACAGAAGGCTGCTGGGAGCAGGGGGTGGGGCTTGTTGCATGTGCCCGCCCCCTGGGCTCTTTACTGCCGGAGCTCCGCTCCTGTGCGCTCCTGCAGGAAATGACCCCTGGGCTTGAGGGATCTGATGCCATTCCACAATGCCTGTAAAGCAGAGATGTTCCACCAGGCTTTTAGTTGAGGACAGGAATGTGAGGTTAAGACTTGCACCCTTTCGCTCCTTTCTATGGTCCTCACATACCCTTCCCCATCCTGCCATGAAGGACAGTGGTGTGGCTGGTAAAGGTGGATTCTCATATCGCTATCTTGGATCAGTTTTAAATTATTGACTTACTGTTAGCAAATTCAATTATATATAATGATTGTATTTTAAATGTTTTTATAAGGCTGTAAATCGACCTGCTTGCAGGGTGGGTGATTCATAAATTTAATGCTTATTTACAATTGCTTATTTACAATTCTTATATTAATGAACAAGATCCATTTGGGTGGGATTTTGATTTCTTCATTACCAAGTGCAGATACTTTGACTCTCACTGAAATCTGAACATTCATTCAGCAAATGAAGAGGGAATCACCAGGTAGGCAGAACTATACAAAAATCTTCCTAACTGTCTTTACATTTCTTCTTAGTTCACATACGGATCATTTGCTTCAGAGGAGAGTGATACAAAAGAGTTCTCCTTTTACCGCATGGTCCCAAAAGAAGACCGTTATTATCCCGGGATTGTTCAATTACTTCTCCATTTTGGATGGATGTGGGTGGGGCTCCTGGCTGCAGATGATAACAGTGGAGAACGTTTCTTAAAGGCTGTAGAGCCATTGCTTTCTCAAAGTGGAATTTGCTTGGCCTTCACTGAAAGAATCAGCCAGAAAGTGCAATGGGATGATCATAACGATTTTACAGGCCAAGTCCCATACCTTGATATTTATTTCATAGATAGAAAAGTCAATACATTTATTGTCTATGGAGATCCAAACACAATTATAATACTGAATGTCTATATATTTTTTTGCCCCTTTGCAACTGATCATACATTTAGTAAGGTTTGGATTTTGACAGCCCAGACGGATTTTGTCCTAACAGGCATCCAAAGATTTGGGGATTTCCGGTTCTTCCATGGGGCGATCTCTTTCACAATCCACTCACGTGAACTTCCAGGTTTCCGTACTTTTCTTCAAGGCATAAATCTTTATGGGGGAGGAGACGGAAATGAGTTTTTGAAGTACTTTTGGGAGCAAACATTTGACTGTATGGCTCCAAATGGGAATGAGTCTGTAGAAATTGATGATGCTTGTACTGGGGAGGAGAAACTGGAAAGACTCCCAGCGCCAGTTTTTGAAATGCACATGACTGGCCACAGCTATAGCATCTACAATGCTGTCCATGCCATTGCACATGCTTTGCATACTAGGTACTCATCCCGATCCAATGTTAGAGCATGGAGGAATAACAAAAGAGCTAGATTTCAAGAACTTCAGCCTTGGCAGGTAATGTCTTTGCTATTCTCTACTTTTCTTTTAATGAACCGATTAGTTCAAAGTGAAACAATATCTAATGTGCTCCTCCATGAACAACATATGCAATATTACAGAAGAGCGGCCATGTTGGTCTAAAGTAGAAGATCTAGATTTGGGTCCAGTAGAACCTTGGAGACCAACCAGCTTTTCATGGTATAAGCTTTGGGGAGTCAGAGCCCCCTTTGCATATGTGAGATGCTTATGTACACATTGTCCATGGGACAATGTTTTGTGGGTTCATATTCCCTTCTAGATATCAAGCCTGACACAAACCACATAAGGCTATCTCATACCAAATCAGACTATTGGCCTCCTAAGATTAGTCTTGTCCCTTCCAAACAGTGGTAACTCCCCAGGATCTCTGAAAGTGGCCTTTTCACATTTCCTATGAGTGAATTCCTACTACTGGATCCTTCAAATTTCCTACTACTGGATCCCTCAGCCTGGGGACTGCATGGCCCACATAACTTTCCAAAATAAAGAGGAGGTGCACATTTTCATTATTCTGTCATGCAAAGTAGGTGTATTTTTCAGGTTGGGTCTAGAAGGAAGCATATAACAAAACATCAGCCCAAAAAAAAGTATTATGGTTCTAATCGGTTTTATAATGTAATTGGTTTTATAATGCATTGACTTTCTGTTGTAAACCTCCCAGAGCCCCGCGTAAGTGGGAAAGGGTGGTCAAGAATTGAAGATAAATAAAGAAATGAAATATCTGAATGAAAAACTGAAGAGTTATTTATTTTCCCTTTCAACCAGCTCCACCTGTTTCTTCAAGGCAATGCATTTAACAACTCAGCAGGAGAAAAGGTATCCTTCAACATTCATAGAGAAGTGGAGGGAGGATGTGATATCACAAATCTAGTCACATTCCCCAACAAGTCCTTCTTCAGGGCGAAAGTTGGAAGGTGGGACCTCACGGCTCTGGAAGGAAAGAAATTGGTCATTCGAGATTATCTAATGGAATGGCAAACTGGCTTTGACCAGGTGTGGCTTTGTGTGGACATTCCACTGACTGCTCTGTTCTCCAGTTTATCTTTTGCTGCATAACTTATTTATTTCTTTATTTGATTTATACCCCACTCTCCCAGCCAGGGCAGGCTCAGGGCAGTTGACCTTGGTGGCTCATCAGTCGTTAACCTGTTGGGAAAGTAACAGAAGCACTGAGCGTATATATTCCTCATAATCTTATAAAAAGTATTTTGTATACTGCTGAAACACTGTGAAATGTTTTCTATACATTTTATTAGGTTGCAGCCAGTATGTCAGGGAATCAGAGAATGTTTTGTGGTGGGTTGCTGGCAACCCATTCTTTATATCAACTTCATGGGAGAAACCAGTGGACTGAGCCTTTCTTTTCTCAGATCCCCAGTTTCCTTTCAAACTATAAATATATTCAAAAACTTCTATCTAACCAGTTTAGCAGAACAACATTTGAGTCCAGTGGCACCTTTAGGACCAACAAAGTTTTATCAAGGTTATATCTTGAATAAAACTTTGTTTGGTCTTAAAGGTGCCACTGGACTCAAACTTTGTTCAGCTGCTTCAGACCAAAGCAGTCACTCACCTTGAATTTAGAAAGTTCTTGTTATTTTTACATACGATTATCAATACAAGGCCACTGGAACAATCCACTTCTTTCTTGCTTCAGCAATTGATGAATAATACAATAATGTCTCCTGAAACGAGGTGTTGGAGGAGAGTTGTATGGACACCGTAGGCCTCTCAAATAAGTGGGTTGTAGATCAAGTAAAGCCTGAATTCTCCCTAGAAGTGAAAATCATGAAACTGATGCTATCGTGCATTGGTCACATTATGAGAAGATGCTGGAATAGACAACAGTGCTCAGAAAAGTTAAAGGCAGCGGGAAAAGAGGAAGACCCAACATGAGATGGACTCAAAGACCTGGCCAAGGCTGTTGATGACAGGACATTTTGGAGGATGTTGATTCATAGGGTCTTCATGAGTTGGGGGCTACTTGATGGTACTTAAACAGCCTTCTTGTTCACATCTTGAAATGCTTTTTTTCCAACAGATTCCACCTCTTTCTGAGTGTAACACATATTGCCATCCTGGTTCTCAGAAGAAAAAAAGGGAAGGAGAGAAATTCTGCTGCTATGATTGCCAGCTGTGCTCTGAAGGGAAGATTTCAAGGCAGAAGGGTAGGTGACATAGCATCAACCTGATAAACAAGATCAACTGGTAATGTATCAAACAGTGCACATCCCCACTCTTAAGACACTGGCCTACAACTTTTAGGAAAAGGTTAAAGAGTCCCTGAGCAGCAGGGCTGTTTGTGTGACAATACTCATCAATACTGAGCATGGACACCTTTCTCAGGGCTCCATCAAGTGCCTGGTCTATCTTCTAGGTGACAAGTCCACCATAGATTGGATGCTGCAAATCAATTGTGGTAGTGGAGATGGCTTCCCCTTGCATTCAGCTGACTACCATGGCCCAAGGAGGTCACTACAGGAGGCACCTGTGAACAACTGGGCCTACTGTTACATGAACTAAGACCAAATTACTCATTCATACCCATGAAAATCCATCCAGCATGCAACCAGCATCCTTTGAAGGCCCCTGGAGCATTTCAAACATAGGTCCTTTCCACACTTGGATCTCATCCCTGTTATCAGAGTTCAACTCGCAACACAATATCTTGCATTTATCCCTGGTTATAAATATCATCTGTTTATCCTGGGCCAAGTGTGGGGCAAAGCCGGGGTGACCTCAATGTAATATGGGAACAAAAAATACCCTGAGATAATTACAGGGGTGAACTTGAGTGTAGTGTAGAATGTAAGTTCAGGGACAGGGTTGAACCAGAATTTAAGGTCTAGTGCGGAATCACCCATAGTAAACCTGTCACATGAAACAAATAAATGGATTGTCTTTTTCTGAAAAATGTCAAGGACCAGAGAGTTTTCTCCCTCTATGCAAAATGGAGTTAGATCACCTTATATACATATGTCTGTTCAATTCAGAACTGTCTTCTGGTGACCCCAGCAAGGGGCTTTCAAGGCAAGTCAGAAGCAGAGGTGGTTTGCCATTGCTTTTCTCTGCAGGTGGTCTCCCATCCAATTCCTGAATGGGTTGAAATTCCAATATCTTGAGGTTGGACAATACCATCCTGCCCTCTCTCTCTAGATCAGCTTCACAATCTCAAATGGCAACTGGGGAAGTCTTGCTTTCTCACACATGACAATTCTGGGGATCAGTCCTCTGTTACATGAGGGAACTCCTCTTCTTCTTTTTTGTCAGACATGGACAACTGTATCAACTGCCCAGAAGATGAGTATCCCAGCAAGGGCCATGATCGATGTCTGCCCAAGACAATCAGCTTTCTGTCTTATGAGGAATCTTTAGGAATTAGTTTGGCTTCTGTAGCTGTTTGTTTATCCTGTATCACAAGCATAGTTTTAGGGATTTTCATTAAACACAAAGACACCCCCATTGTCAAAGCAAACAACCGGGATATCACCTATATACTTCTCATTGCTCTCCTACTTTGCTTCCTCTGCTCTTTGTTTTTCCTTGGACAACCAAACAAAGTGACCTGCTTCCTCCAACAATCTGTTTTTGGTGTCATCTTCACTGTGGCTGTTTCTTGTGTGCTAGCCAAAACAGTCACTGTAGTTGTAGCTTTCACAGCCACCAAGCCAGGATCCAACATGAGGAAATGGGTGGGGGAAAGACTGGCCTTCTCCATTGTACTTTCCTGCTCACTCATTCAAGCAGGGATTTGTCTGCTATGGTTAGGAACTTCTCCTCCATTCCCAAACTTTGACACACAGTCATTCAGCAGAGAGATCATCATAGAGTGTAAGGAAGGGTCTGTTCTCATGTTTTATATTGTCCTGGGCTACATGGGATTTCTGTCCGTCATCAGCTTGATTGTGGCTTTCCTAGCCAGGAAGCTGCCAGACAGTTTTAACGAAGCCAAGTTCATCACCTTCAGTATGCTTGTGTTTTGCAGTGTATGGGTGTCCTTTTTCCCAACTTACCTGAGCACCAAGGGGAAATACATGGTGGCCATGGAGATCTTCTCCATCTTGGCCTCCAGTGCTGGGTTACTGGTTTGTATCTTTTCCCCAAAGTGCTTCATTATTCTGCTAAGGCCTGAACTGAATGACAGGGAACAACTAATAAAGAGCAATAAATAAAGTCTTCCACTGGAGTTTCCTATGCATTCTTTCTGTGGTTTCTATGTGGGTGGGAGTCACCAGCCCACTTTCGATAGGTACCTTGGCCTACCCTAATGCAATAATATATTCAAAGGAAACAAAAAAAAAAATGACCACTTCATATGAATAAGGAATGGATAATAGATTCATTAAATATCCATGGGATCATGGAGCGTGTGATCTTTCCCAGTTGAAGGGAGGGGAAAGTACCTGTCTCGGTGTATGGGGGAAAGGAACAGCTGGACCTACTGCTATTTTTTTAATCAGGTGAAGTTGATCAATTAATAACCTTTGTCACCTAAAAGCAAATGGGTTGATGTCTAAAAGCTAAAGAGAAAAGAGTGATTGCAAAATTTCTTCCCCCAAAGGGAAGGAGTTTGGCTTGGCTGTGATCATTACTGACATGGAGGTTAGAGGAATCAATTAATCTTTTATAACCAGAGTGATTTCCAGGGGGAAGATTAAAGCCCCTTCTCCTAGTTTGCCACAGAGAGGAAAACAATTCCAAAAGAGGCCATCACCTGCTCTTTCACACGTCAGGGAAGTTTAAATATGTCCCCCCCCAAGTTTTAATTCTGCAGACCATCCAGTTGCTCATAGCAGAATTATTCCCCACAATTTGCATTTTGCATTCAGCTTTCAATCTGCCTGCATTCCCCTGCTTTTTCTTCTGTTATCAGTATGTCCAATAAAAACTAAAACTGAAGTACTGTGTTCCTCACTGTCTGCTACTCTGAATGGGTTGCAAGGTCTGTTGTTGTGATGGGAGACCTCCCATTGATCTTCTTCAATGTGGTGGTTGGAGAAAAACAACAACAAAAATCACATTTGGGTAGTGTAGCCAACCTCCAGGTGGGGCCTGGAGATCCCCCAGAATTACAGCTGATCTCCAGACTACATAGATAGCTTATTTATTTATTTGAAACACTTATTCCATTTCTCCTGGAGAAGATGGATGCTTTGGAGGGTGGACTGTATGGCATTATACCTTACTGAGGTCCCTCCTCTCCCTAAAGCCCACCCTGACCCAGCTCTACCCTCAAATCTCCAGGTGTTTCTAAACCTGAAGTTGGAAACTCTACATCTGAGTATAACCCAGTAGTTACAATGGGTAGCTCTCTGTAGATCCTTTGCCCTGAAAGGTTGCCATAATTTGGTTCTTTGATGATAAAAAATTGCTGATGACTCCAGCTTCTGAATATTGTTAATTTTCCTCTTTGGGGGCAAAAGGAAAGAAAAAACTCCACAAACTCCACTCACAAATAGAATAAGTTCAGATGGTGTTATGCTAGTTTCCTAGTAGGCTTTGGCCATCTCACAAGCATTTAGAACTTTCTCCAATCCCAGACTCCAGTTGGGGTCTAATTTCCTTGTTAGTGTTCCTGAAAATCTCAAAGCCACTTCTGCTTGGAGTATCCCTGAGGATCAGAGTTGACTTATGGTCAGCAATTAAAAAAGGACCATGTTTGTTACTGATGGTGCTACCCAAGGTCATACTTGGCAGAGCCAATTATATCTCCCTGGACTACTCCAAATCATTGTAATTTCTTTATCAGTTGGCCAAATCTCTAGTGACTTTTCAGGACGTGCTAGAAACCTATTCAATAAACAAGTTTTTGTATTAAAATAACCCTCTCATTTGCTACTGAGAGCTGGGAGGTAGGCCAAGCCATGGCTCTGTCTGTTTGATCGTTCACATCTTGCATGGATGAGAGAGATTGCCTCTGACAGAATCTATACAGTGGCCTGTTATTCAAGGCCTTTCTTTCCTTCCACACTGAAACAAAAAAAAAGGAAGACAGGGTTTCTTTTTTGTTTTCTTTTAAGAAGAGTTTAGATGAACCCCCTACAGTAGCCTTTGATGGGCACAGGAGAATCTGTGCCTAGAACAGAGTTTTGCTGTAAGGATGGAGCCCATGGTGTTGCTATTGCTTCTGTCTCAAATTGTGTACCAAGTCGATAGCACTAGGTGCCCTTCAAACAATATTCTCCCTGCTATACCTCACTGCTATCAATCAGGGGACCTCCTAATCGGTGGGATTGTGTCTCACAACTTTTACCAGTACCATACCGAAGAGTTTAAAGCATTTCCGTCGTGGGACTTGCGTGAGGCTCCAGAGTAAGGCATTTCCCCCTGCCCAGCATCATGTCAGCATGGCCAGAAAAAATCGCAAGTCCTAATAATTGTTTCTGTCCATGCCTGAATGTACAAATAAGTACACAGTGTTCTTCCAGAGGAGCATGGCCAGAAAAAATCGCAAGTCCTAATCATTGTTTCTGTCCATGCCTGAATGTACCAGTGTTCTTCCAGAGGTTGTAGCCCTATTGGTCTGTTGCAACAGAAATAAACAGGAGTCCAGTGACACCCTTAAGACTAACATCGTATCATTCCAGGATAAGCTTTTGTGGTCTACAGGTGCCAAGGAACAGCTTCTCACTAGGCAGACTTTTGATCGACAAGTTATTAAAACACAGAAGCAAAGTCAAGGGGCTATGGCAAGGATCCCCAACGTGGTGTCTGCCAACATCTTTCCTGGTGCCCACCAAGTGTTTTTAGAAAGTGGGTGGGGCCAGGTGGAGCTGAGTAGCTATTGGAGATCTGATTGCCTGGGCAGATTGTTAAAAATGTTGCTTTGGCAGCAGCCATTTTGTGACTGTGCCCACAATGCTTTGTCAGAATTCCAAAAGCACCTCTGGGCTTAAAAAGGTTGTGGACCCTAGGGCTACGGAACGTAGGAAGTACAGGGTGAGATGGCTTTTCTTACTCATTTGGGGTGTTAATTGTTTTAGCACAGCCTGGGATTTCCCATCCATTCTGCTAGTTATTTGGTGAGAATCGTCATCATAGCTGACTGATAGCAACCCTATAGGATTTTCAAGGCAAGAACAGGTGGTTTGCCATTGCCTGATTTTGCGTAGCTACCCTGGACTTCCTTGGTGGTCTCCCTTCCAAGTGTTAAGCAGGGCTGACCTTGCTTATCTTCTGAGATATCACAAGATCGGGCTAGCCTAGGTTATGTTGCTTGCCCAAACTAATGAATGGCCTGAGTGCCAGTTTGGTGTAGTGGTTAAGTGTGCGGACTCTAATCTGGGAGAGCCGGGTTTGATTCCCCATGCCTCCACTTGCACCTGCTGATGTGACCTTGGGTCAGTCACAAGCTCTGGCACAGCTGTTCCTGAAAGAGCAGTTTATGTCAGAGTTCTCTCAGCCCCACCCACCTCACAGGGTGTCTGTTGTGGGGAGGGGAAGGGAAAGGAGTTTGCAAGCAGCTCTGAGACTCCAAGTGAAGGGCCGGGTATAAATCCAATCTCTTCTCTTCTTCTTCTCGGTATTTTCACCTGAAAGTTGTTCTGAAGAGAATAAACATAAAAGTCATGAAACTGAGAGAGTTCTTCCTTCCAGTGAGGCGAAAACAGTTAAGAACTCTATGGCTGTTAAACAGTAAGAAACAAAAGGTGGTATTTGCTTGCCTGGGAAAGGGAATGCTTAGTTGGATGCTGGTTGAAAAGCAAATTTTGGGGTTCTGACATCTAGAAGGTTAATTGGAAATATGTTTGTTAGATTAGAAACATCAGGAATTAACTTCCTTTTAAAAAAGATACACATTAAATGTATCAATCAGTGTATCAATCAGAGGCAGAGCAGAATTATGACTGACCCAAGAAAGAGGTGGCCAATATTATAATGAGATGACTTGTTAAATTGCTGCATTGCTCCTCTAAAAAGCATCTTAAATTCAACTTACAGGACGATTCTAAAGTTCTACCAGCACATCCTAGCCTTAGAGTTTGCTGTAAAAGAGGTCAATGAGAACCCCCACATCTTACCCAATGAGACGCTTGGGTTCCACATTTATGAGAACTACTATGATGAGAAGATGACTTATCAGACCACTCTGGAGCTGCTGTTCAAATCTCACAGTTTCATCCCTAACTACAAATGTGGCACCCAGAAACACCTTATTGCTATCATTGGGGCTCTTGACCCCGAGAATTCCTTGCATATGGCAACCATCTTGGATCTCTTCAAGATTCCACAGGTAGAATACACACATGGGGGACTGGGGATTTTTGACAAAGGGGAATCATACATAAAATTCCAATTAAGAAAATAAGAAGAGCACAGCTGAATCAGACCAATAGTTCATCTAGTCCAGCATCCCATCTCACACAGTGGCCAAACAGTTCCTCTGGACAGCCAGCAGCAGGGCATAGAGGCCGAGGCCTTCCCCTGATGTTGCCTCCTGGATCATTTAGGGGAAACCACTGTAGTTCAGGGAGGAGTGTTATGGCTGACACAAATAATGATATCTCTGATACTGGAAAATCAAAGAGAGTTCCTTTTCAAAGGGGAATGGGCGGGCATGACCAGGCAGCAGAAGATCCTTTTAGATGGGGTGTGTCCCCTGGCCATTTCCCAGAAATGTCATCTACAGCATGAATATATACAGTTTGCATTTATTCAGGAACCGGCTCTGGCTGCTCTGTGAGGGCAGATCTGCAGGTCCCCCCCCCAAAAAAAATAGCTAGCAATCCAAAACAGTCCAGTGGCACCTTTAAGATCAAGTTTTATTCAGGAACCAGCTCTGGCTTCTCTGTGAGGGCAGATCTGCTCATTCCCCCCCCCCATAGCCAGTAAACCAAAACAGTCCAGTGGCACCTTTAAGACTCTCTGTGGAGGCAAGTCTGCTCATCCCCCCCCCCCATAGCCAGTAAACCAAAACAGTCCAGGGCACCTTTAAGACCAAGTTTTATTCAGGAACTGGCTCTGGCTTCTCTGTGAGGGCAGATCTGCTCATTCCCCCCCCCAATATTTTTTCCCTGTTTTCCTCCTTTAAAAACTAGGTGCGTCTTAAGGTCAGGTGCGTCTTATGGTCCGAAAAATACGGTATTTTGTATTCCTTTTCATTCTTATACCAGTCTGAATTTCTTGCTCTACTTTTATTTATTTTTTTGGTTTCTGGGTAGGAGAGAATCATACATGTAATTCTCCCTACCCACCCTGCACCTAATAGATATGGGTTTGTTTAAATAGACTGCTTGAATGGGTGGTTGTGAATTTGTCAACATTTCCAAGATCATCAACAAAGTTTATCCATTCAGCTTTATTAAATGAGCTCCAATTATAATCATGACATATGTATTAAATATATCATAGTGAAGTCTGGAGGGGATGGGGGGGGAACCAAAACAAGGGGGAGGGTTCAGGGTTATTTTGTGGGAATGGGTTTTTTTTTTTACAAGATAATGGAACAGAGGTTTACTAGTCTGCCATGACAGTGCTGGTCTGGTTGTCTAAGAGCAGCTGAGTATTTTCTGCCCTGTCTCCTCCAGTCGTCTGTACGTCCCTAACACACCCCTCTTTTCTGTGCATGTGTATGCAGTGGAGGTCAATCTTTAAAGAGAAATGGAACACATGAGTGATGGGAGCTTAACCTGCCCCCCCAATCTGGCTGGGATTAATTGATTCCAGGATTTTGACTTCTACTCCTGGTACCTGATTGGGAGGGAAATGCTTCGCAGGATGCAGCGTGAAACAGGAGACTGGAGGGTTTCACCTCCTTGTCGGTGAACTCTGGTGGCTTCAAAGTAGGCATAACACCTTGTCCTAATGGACTTATGAAAGCGAGGAGAGGGCTGCCTTTTCCCCTACTGGGAGTCAAAGAGAAGAGAGGGAGATTTGTATGGGAGGGCAGAGCATGGTTGATTGGCACTCTCCCAAGAAATGAAAGAAATTGTGAGAGCATCGAATCAGCTGTTCTCCCAAACACAGACAACCAGTTCAGTCTGTTCGTGTGACTGATCTCTTGCATCTCATCTAGTTTGGTATGTGAGTACATAGATGTGTTTTGCCCTCTGTCACAACCCCCAGTTAAGCCAGAGGACTGTCCATCGCAGGTGGTGGGAGTCTGTGACTCTGCTGCTATTACCCTCTGCTCTCTGCAGTCCTGCCTGCCATTCCAGCAGCACAGACAAATATTTGTTGCCAACCCCACTTTAGCAAGCAGGGCAAAAGGATAGGAAAGTAGAAGCTGGATGTTCTTTTTCAGTAGTAACATCAAGGAAATGTTCTGGTTGGAGTACATCCCTATAGGTACAAACGTGATGACACACTACCTCTCCTCTTCCTCTTCGTGGAACCCAGGCTGGTTCTGATTGGCATTTATTTTTTCTGTTCTGATTGGTTATAACTGTTGGAAAAATTAGAAAAATAGTTAACATTTCAGAGATTGCAATGGATCTTTGCTTCACTGGAGAGGAGGCATTTTCTTCTATGTAAAAAAAAATATTTCTAAGGGAAGGGTTCACAGGAAATCTACAAAACAACAAAGACACCTAAGACTACATCTTTACACTTTGACCACATGGTCTACAACAATGGAGATTCTTCTTCTTCTTGACCCCTAGAAGGAAATCACCTGAATGCATTAACCAATGATAGTGAGTAAACAGGCTCCAGTTTCATGGGCTTTGTTTCCACTGGCTCTGTGCCAGGTTTCCTTCCAGGTCAGTCTAAACAATAGCCCACAGAGTAAGCACACATTAACCCTATAATGACTGAATTTTAGACCTTGCAACACACATATTTCCAACAATAATTTCTGCACTAGCGAAAAGATCAGTTCGGGAGGAATTTTGATCAATTTCCAAATGCACCCCCTTAATCTTTAACTATCACGGAATCTAAACATCCATACAGAAAGATATACAGAGCATCACCAGACACAATCAATAAAGAAATTCTTCCTAAATCATATCTAAAATACCTTTACGTTTTCTCTTAGCTCACGTATGGCTCATTTGCCTCAGAGGAGAATGATGCAAAGGAGTTCTTTTACCGCATGGTCCCAAATGAAGCCCATTTCTATACTGGGATTATTCAATTGCTTCTCCATTTCGGATGGACTTGGGTGGGGCTGCTGGCTACAGATGATGACAGTGGAGAACATTTCTCGAAGACCCTGGAGCAATTGTTTTCCCAAAATGGAATCTGTTTGGCTTTCACGGAAAGAATCCCCTCAAAAGTACAATGGGATGACCTAGGTGATATTACTCATATAATCCCAAATATAGATATGGTGTTCACAGATGTGAAAGTCAGTATATTTATTCTCTATGGAGATTCAAGGACATTTATAGTATTGAATGGTTATTTTTTTCTAGGGAATATTTCGTCTGATAACATATTTGGCAAGGTGTGGATTTTAACCGCCCAGATTGACTTTACCCTCTCAGGCCTGCAAAGATTCTGGGACTTTCACTTCTTCCATGGGGCAATCTCTTTCACAATTCACTCAAACAAACTTTTAGGGTTCCAAGCATTTCTTCATGACATGAAAACGAATAGGGCAGATGAAAATAGTTTTCTGAAGTTCTTCTGGGCACAAGCGTTTAACTGTGCATTTGTGAACCGCAAGGAGTCCCCAGAAGTTGACAGTGCTTGTACTGGGGAGGAAAAACTGGGAAGCCTTCCTAACACTGTTTTTGAGATGGACATGAGTGGTCACAGTTATAGCATCTATAACGCTGTCCATGCTGTGGCACATGCTTTGCATACCAAACACTCATCTAGAGCTAACCTCAGAGCTAGAAGGAGTGGCAAAAACTTTGAATTTCAGGATCTTCAACCATGGCAGGTAATATCTCCAGTATGAAATAGCTTTATTTCAGAGGACAGATTAAGTGTGAACTGAGACAGTAACTAGCATGTCCCACCACGAACATCATACAAAACCTTCTTATACACATCTTGCCTTGACAAAGTTTTCTGGGTTCTTGTATCCTTCTAGACCTGAATCCTGAAAAGAGGAGCACATATGGTATTCCAAGTCAGACCATTGGTCTATCAAGGTCAATCTTCTCTGCCTGGCTGGTAGTCAGGTACCTGGCTGCTACAAGGTAACAGCCAGGTAGGGCCTTGTCTTAAACATTGTTGCCCAAAGATCATCTTGCTGTAGAGCTTCTGTTGCTCCTCCTTGAATGTGTCCTTCACCATCAAATACTGCAGGATACTTTAGCAAGATGCTGGGGACTAAATGCAGATCACATGTTCTGTTACTGGATTGTAAGCTTTTACAATCCTCTACCCTAGCAAACTAGCTGGCTGTTTTCTTGTTTGTTTGCTTGCTTGTTTTATTTTGTTTTTCAGGTTGGTTTGAGAAAGATGTCCATCAGTTGTGTCAGCCAGGAAAAGTATTTCAGCATCTCAGAATGAAGAATTCAGCATTGAGTTAAACATTTTATTCATCTTTCTTTCTGTCAGCCAGCTCCATCCATTTCTTCAAAGCAACTCCTTTAACAACTCAGCAGGAGAAAGGGTATCTTTTAACAGTTATAGAGAGGCAGAGGGAGGATTCGATCTCACAAACCTGGTCACATTCCCCAACAACTCCTTCTTAAGAATGAACGTTGGAGGGCTGGATCCCATGGCTTTGAAAGGAAAAGAGCTGATCTTCCAAGATGATTTAATTAAATGGCAAACAAGCTTTAAGCAGGTACGGAGGTGTGGACATAGCAGAAACTGGTTAATTCTCTGGATGACAGATTATGGTGCCAGGTCATTCTTTCTGCAACATAACCTGACCTTTATGACTCATCCGTTGGTAAAACATTGAAAAACTGGCTAGAGTCAACCTGAGTAGGTGGGGCTCTAGGGTTGCCATCTACATAATGGGAAATTCCTGAAGATTTGGTGGGGAGGCATGGGGAGGCTGGGCTTGGGGGATGGAGGGACCTCTATGAGGTATAACGCCATAAGGTTGACCCTCCAAAGCTGCTGCTTTCTCCAGGGGAACTGATCTCTGTAGTCTGGACATCAGTTGTCCTTCTGGGAGACCTCCAGGCCCCACCTAGAGGTTGGCAACCGTAGGCACTGCCCTATTTGCCATAATGCACCAGCCTTTGCATGCATGATGACTGATATGATGTCACTGCAAGAGTTTTTCTTTCTTTCTTGGTATAACAGTTGGTTAATAATAAAACGATGTCATGTTGCTCCTTTCTCGAACTTCTTTCATGTTTTTGATAGGTCCCTCCTCTCTCTGAGTGTAACACCCACTGCCGGCCTGGTTCTCAGAAGAAAAAGAAGGCAGGGGAGAAGTTTTGCTGTTACGATTGTTCCCTGTGCCCTAAAGGAAAGATTTCAAGGCAGAAAGGTAGGTAGAATATTGCAACTTTGATAGATGGGGTTATATCAGATGACAATGGACCATTGATCCCCACTGGGGGGATGCTGGGACTTAGTGGAAGAACCTCTGCTTGGCAGGCGAAAGGTCGCAAGGTCGGTCCCTGGAATATCTAGTTAAAAAGGAACAGGCAGTAAGTGATGTGAAAGACCTCTGTTTGAGACCCAGCAGGCCTATAGCCGGGGGGGCAGATTTGGGGGTGGAGCCACACTAGACACAAACCCTGCCCCAGAATGGGAAGATGCCACACGCATGTCTACCATCCTTTCCTCTCTCTCTCGTTTTCCAGACATGGATGACTGTGTCAAGTGTCCAGAAGATGAGTATCCAAGCAAAGATCAAGATCAATGTATGTCCAAGAAAATTCATTTTCTGACTTACGACGAAACTTTAGGGATCATCTTGGCTTCCACTGCTGTGTGTTGTTTCCTAATCACAGCTCTGGTTCTTGCAACTTTTATGAAGCACAGAGATACCCCCATAGTCAAGGCCAACAACAGAGACATCACCTATGCTCTCCTGGTCTCCCTCTTGCTCTGCTTCCTCTGCTCTTTGCTTTTCCTTGGAGAGCCAGGCAAGGTGACCTGCTTCCTCCGGCAATCTGCTTTTGCCATCATCTTCACCGTGGCTGTCTCTTGTGAAGCACAGAGATACCCCCATAGTCAAGGCCAACAACAGAGACATCACCTATGCTCTCCTGGTCTCCCTCTTGCTCTGCTTCCTCTGCTCTTTGCTTTTCCTTGGACAGCCAGGCATGGTGACCTGCTTCCTCCGACAATCTGCTTTTGCCATCATCTTCACGGTGGCTGTTTCTTGTGTGTTGGCCAAAACAGTCACTGTGGTTGTAGCTTTCTTGGCCACCAAGCCAGGTTCCAGCATGAGGAAGTGGGTGGGGAAAAGAATGACTAACTTTGTTGTTCTTTCCTGCTCCCTCATTCAAGTGGGTATTTGTCTTGGGTGGCTAGGAACATCTCCTCCCTTCCCAGATTTGGACACACACTCAATGAATGAGGAAATCATATTTGAATGTAATGAAGGATCTGTTATCATGTTCTACATTGTCCTGGGCTACATGGGACTTCTTTCTCTCATCAGCTTGACTGTCGCTTTCCTTGCCAGGAAGTTGCCAGACAGCTTTAACGAAGCCAAGTTCATCACCTTCAGTATGCTTGTGTTTTGCAGTGTCTGGGTGTCTTTTTTCCCCACCTACCTGAGCACCAAAGGGAAATCCATGGTGGCAGTGGAAACCTTTTCTATCTTGGCCTCCAGTGCAGGGTTATTGGGTTTTATCTTTTTTCCAAAATGCTACATTATTCTATTGAGACCTGAATTAAACAACAAGAAGCAGCTAATAAGGAGAAAGAAGTAAAGACTCTCACTATTGTGTAATATATATTATTTGTATAGTTAGTAAACAGTTAGAAACCAGCCTTATGGTTATGGATCGCTTGGGGTACCTATATGGCAATGCTATGCCCAAAGCAATCCTTGATCTATAGTGGTAGGAAAGAGCAAGCGTGATTTCCCACAAGCGCTGCTCCGCGCTCACTCTTCTCTTTGGCCCAATGGTACATGTCAATTTCACACAAGCTGCTGCGTGACCGCATTTTGCCCTGCAGCTTTGTGTGATTTCCCCCGTGTCTACTCAATCCTGTTTTTTTTTTAAATTGAGTAGACGTGGGGAAAATCGCACAAAGCTGCGAGACAAAATGCGTCCGCATAGCAGCTTGTGTGAAATTGACACGTACCATGGGGCAAAAGGGAGGAGTGAGCATGGAGCAGCGCTTGTGGGAAATCACCCCAAGAGTCCAATAGCACCTTAAAGGCTAACAAAGTTTGTGGCAGGGTATGAGTTTTTTCATCCAAGACGGGGGATACAGCTAGAATGTGAGTCCATCTGTCCTAATTATTGGAAAGTGGAGTGACTTCAGATGCCGAATGATATTGGCAGGCTAATGACAATAACAGGTGAATGACAATAGCAGGTGTGATTTGATGAGGTGTGATATACAGAGGGGTAGTAGGCGTGGAGAAATCATCATTGGTAATGAGTCAGGAGACCTAGGTCTCGATTACTCCAGCTGGATGCATTATCTTCAACTTCATTATTAATTTCAATTCAGCAGTCTCTCTTTCTAATCTCCCTTTGAAATTCTTTTATAAGAACTGCTGCTCTTAGGTCAGCAACTGAATGTCCTGGAAGATTAAAATCTAGGCAAGCCTCTAATCAAAGATGGACTTTTGAAAATAAGGCGTACATGCCAGAATCTATTGAGCCCCTCAAACTCTTTTCTTATGCCCCCAAGAGGATAAATGGACACAAATCTGACATCAGGAATCACAAGATTGAGAAACCTGTAGGAGAACACAGCCTTCCAGGACATTCAATGGGTGACCTCAAAGTAGCTGTTTTATTACAAAGGAACTTCTGGAAAAGAATGCAAATGGAAGTTGCTGAATTACAAATTATTACAACATTTGGAACAAAAACCTCCCTAGGACTCAACAGGGATATTGGTTTCTTATCCCATTACATATGCTAACTCATTCAGTCCTCGCATATATATTCTCAGCAAGAAGGACTATACATCCTCTGTATTTTAGTGTATTTCTTTTTCAGAATACTTTATTAGAATACTGAATGTAATGAAAGGAATATTGGAGTGTTTTGCTGCATCCACCTCAAAAGGGGGGGATGCTGTTAAGTGACCTCCATGTCTGAAAGAAGAGAATGGAAAATATCAGGAGAGAATGGAAAATACACCTTTACACATTTATCTGCTATTTTGACATATTTATTGCTTTACAAATGTTGACCTTATAACCTTAGCTCATTATTTAGTTTTTTCACATCTTCATCATGTTACATGTTAATTAGCTGTTCAACCCCTGTCTATAAGTTTGAACCCTACCTACCATTCCAATGTATTTGAAAAAGTGTGCTTGCACACGAAAGCTCATACCTTGAATAAAACTTTGTTGGTCTTAAGGGTGCCACTGGACTCTAAATTTGTGCTACTGCTTCAGACAAACACAGCTGACCACCTGGATCTAACTGTAATACTGACAGTTAAAACAGTTAATCATGTGCTGTTGATCAAATAAAAACCTTTGCTACTTAAAAAATACATGGGCTGATATCTAACATGTAAAGAGATAATAATGGCATGCCCATAGCCTGGATTTTGTGGCTTGCGATGCAATTTTTTTTCTTTTCTGGTGGGGCCACAGTTTTCAACGAACAGGAAAACCTTTTTTCCCCCTTGCCTTAATCAACTATGATTCTTTCACCACCACCAGTCCACCTGTCAATTTTGACACTGTCCATTTTTCTTCTTCCTCATTTTTTTTCTCCTCTGTGTAATACACAAAGGGAAGCTATTTTTGCTTCCTTTCGTTGTATGGAAGAGAAAGGAAGGCATCGGCAAGGACAATGAATTGACCAAACTGTACCCTGCCTTTGGTCATTTGTCCTAAAGACCTGCTTCCCCGGTTAGTCCACAGCTGTTAGAACTGGGTCCTCCCAACTCACAGCACTGCCTCTTGAGTTGGCTCTGCCCTGTGTTCGAATAACAGGGACTGATAGGGTGGCCAACCTCCATGCGGAACCTAGATATCTCCAGAATTCCAAGCGATCTCTAGACTAAAGATGCTCACCTAGAAAAACCGGTTGCTTTGATGGGTAGACCCAATGACATTATAACCCACTGAGGTCCCTCCCCTCTCTGCTCCACCCACAAATCTCCAGTAATTACCCAACCCAGAGCTGGTAACCAGTGTTCCTTCTGAGTTGAGTTGGTGTGAGCTAGCTCACAGTTTTTTAGCCTCCAGCACACACAGTTTTGTCTTAGCTCAGGACAGGGGTCATTTTGTAGGAAAAGAGGTGCAGGAGCTCATTAGCATAACATTAGCATAACTTATTTGCATAGGCCACACCCCCGACATCACCGGAAGTGTGTAAGAAGACAACACCCACCGCTCAGGCTCCACTGGACTGTTTTGGATTGCTAGCTATGGGGGGGACGTGCAGATCTGCCCTCACAGAGGAGGGAGAGCTTGTACCTGAAGGTGGGGGGACTCTGCAACTTATCTGGCTGCTTCTTGCTCATCGTGGCCTGACTGAGGGCTGCTGGGAGCAGGGGGGCAGGGCTTGTTGCATGTGCCCGCTCCCTGAGCTCCTTACTGCCAGAGCTCCGCTCCTGTGCGCTACCGCAGGAAATGACCCCTGGCTCAGGAAGGGTAGGGCTCCAGAGCAAATTAGTTTATGCAGTAGCCAAATTCCTTGCTCACAACGTTAATGCCAATAGTTCATAAAGGAGAACTTTTGCTCACAAGACTCCACAGCTTAGAGGGAGCAAACCCCAATTGACTGATCAGTTTTGAAAAATGTTCCATAGACAGCTAGTGTTTACAGCTGTTTTTTCACCCTGAATAAATTGTTCTTGGTCTTAAACATGGCACTCTCTCTATGGCTCTCTCTCTGACTTGTCTCTCTCAGTCACTCTACTCTGCTATCACTGCACTCCAACCAAACATTTAAAGGAACACACACACAGTAAAACAAGGAATCATGACAGAAGTATGCACGCACACAAAAAACCTTATACCTGGAATAAAACATTGTTGGTCTTGAAGGGCCATGAGACTCTCTCTACTTGTCTCTCTCTGGCTATTTTCCTCCCCCTCCCTTCCTCCCCAACAGAGGGGGAGGGGGAGGAGTCCTCAGCCAATCAAAGGAAGGGAGGCTAGGCTTTCTCTCTCTCCTCTACAAAGCAGGAAAGAGGAGAGACTGGCCATGGGAAGAGGCAATTGGAATGGGACAAGGATGGAAGACCGCTGCCATCTCTGGCCCTGCCCACCTTGCATCCTTCCTTCATGGTTGGGGTTGCCAGCTCTGGGTTGGAAAATACCTGGAGACTTTGAGGGTGGATTCAGGAGAGGGGAGGGTTTGGGGAGGGATCTCAGCATGGTACTGTGCCATAGAGTCCACCCTTCAATGCAGCCATTTTCTCCAGGGGAGCTGATCTCTGTCAGCTGAAGATCAGTTGTAAAAGCAAATCAGCAAGTGAGTTACAGATGGTTGGTGCCAGAAGGACTGGTTTTCAAGTTTAAAGAGAGAAGAGAAAAAATAGACTCTATCTTTAAAGCTCAAGATTTCCTGAAGAGGCACGCCAGTTTAGAAGAAGAAGCAAAACTTGCCAAGTGGATGACGGGAGAAAGCAGAGACAGCAGTTCTGAGGGAGAGGTGAAGGATGAGGAAGACAAAGGAGCGACTGGCTTAAAGTACACTTTGAGAGACAAAAAAGGGAAAGGCCCCAAGAATTAACTGTTTTGGACTGTGCTGTAAAAGTAATTCTAACCCCAAAAGGACTTTACTAACATATTAACTATCTTTTTGAAAACTAAAGAAGAAAAAGAAGATCACCTATTCACAGAAAAAAACTTTAACTTTAAATTTGAAAAGTTTAATTTACTAATACTTAACATCACTCAACAATTTCCTTTATCCCTCTATTTGAAAAGTTTAATTTACTAATACTTAACATCACTCAACA